AAATTTCACAAACAATATTTTAAAATTAAAGCAGGTAAAACATGTTTTATTATATCATTTCATTATTTATTTTTTGTAACTGTAAATGAGTGAAATCATTGTACATGTCTACCTTTTTCTGGACTCAATATCTGGACTTGTATTATCTATTACAACACTCTTTCCTTGTTTTAGTGCACTTTCACAGGCTGCCACACATTTCTGCCATGAACCAATAGTATCCTTGATAAACAAAACATACACTGAATAATGATGTTGTTTTACATACTGAAAGGGCAAACATTGCATTGAACTAAATTCAGTACTACCGGGGGGTTTATACAGTACTAACACACACACTGAACACCTTACTTTGTGCACATACTGCACACATTACCCTACGCACACACTGAACACCTTACTCTATGCACACACTGAACACCTTACTCTATGCACACACTGAACACCTTACTCTCTGCACACACTGAACACCTTACTCTATGCATACTAGTACACTGGACACCTTACTCTATGCACACACTGAACACCTTACTCTATGCATACACTGGACACCTTACTCTATGCATACACTGGACACCTTACTCTATGCATACACTGAACACCTTACTCCCTGCACACCAAACTCTCTACACACACTGAACACCTTACTCTCTGTACACACTGAACATCTTATTCTCTGCAAACACTGAACATCTCACTCTCTCCAAACACTGAACACCTTACTCTCTCTGCAAACACAGAACACCTTACTCTCTGCAAACACTGAACACCTTACTTTCTGTACACACTGAACACCTTACTCTCTGCATACACTGAAAACCTTACTGCCTGCACACCAAACTCTCTGCACACACAGAACATCTTACTGTCTGCACACACTGAACACCTTACTCTCTGCAAACACTGAACACCTTACTCTCTGCAAACACTGAACACCTTACTCTCTGCAAACACTGAACACCTTACTCTCTGCACACACTGAACACCTTACTCTATGCACACACTGGACACCTTACTCTATGCATACACTGGACACCTTACTCTATGCATACACTGAACACCTTACTCCCTGCACACACTGAACACCTTACTCTATGCACACACTGAACACCTTACTCTATGCATACACTGAACACCTTACTCTATGCATACACTGAACACCTTACTCTATGCACACACTGAACACCTTACTCCCTGCACACACTGAACACCAATTACTCTATGCATACACTGAACACCTTACTCTATGTACACACTGAACACCTTACTCCCTACACACCAAACTCTCTGCACACGCTGAACATCTTACTCTCTGCAAACACTGAACATCTTACTCTCTGCAAACACTGAACACCTTACTCTATGCACACACTGAACACCTTACTCTATGCATACACTGGACACCTTACTCTATGCATACACTGAACACCAATTACTCTATGCATACACTGAACACCTTACTATATGTACAAACTGAACACCCTACTCTCTGCAAACACTGAACACCTTACTCTCTGTACACACTGAACATCTTACTCTCTGCACACACTGAACACATTACTCTATGCACACATTGGACACCTTACTCTATGCACACACTGAACACCTTACTCTATGCACACCAAACTATCTGCACACACTGAACATCTTACTCTCTGCAAACACTAAACATCTTACTCTCTGCAAACACTGAACACCTTACTCTATGCACACACTGAACACCTTACTCTATGCACACACTGAACACCTTGTGCTTTGCACACACTGGACATCTTACTCCCTGCACACTGAACACCAATTACTCTCTGCAAACACTGAACACCTTACTCTCTGCAAACACTGAACACCTTACTCTCTGCAAACACTGAACACCTTACTCTCTGTACACACTGAACACCTTACTCTCTGCACACACTGAACATCTTACTCTCTGCACACACTGAACATCTTACTCTCTGCACACACTGAACACATTACTCTATGCACACACTGAACACCTTGTTCTTTGCACACACTGGACATCTTACTCCCTGCACACTGAACACCTTGTTCTTTGCACACACTGGACATCTTAATCCCTGCACACTGAACACCTTACTCTATGCACACATTGGACACCTTACTCCATGCACACACTGAACACCTTACTCTATGCACACACTGAACACCTTACTCTCTGCAAACACTGAACACCTTACTCTCTGCAAACACTGAACACCTTACTCTCTGTACACACTGAACACCTTACTCTCTGCACACACTGAACATCTTACTCTCTGCACACACTGAACATCTTACTCTCTGCACACACTGAACACATTACTCTATGCACACACTGAACACCTTGTTCTTTGCACACACTGGACATCTTACTCCCTGCACACTGAACACCTTGTTCTTTGCACACACTGGACATCTTACTCCCTGCACACTGAACACCTTACTCTATGCACACACTGAACACCTTACTCTATGCACACACTGAACACCTTACTCTATGCACACACTGAACACCTTACTCTATGCACACACTGGACACCTTACTCTATGCACACACTGAACACCTTACTCTATGCATACACTGAACACCAATTACTCTATGCATACACTGAACACCTTACTCCCTGCACACACTGAATACCTTACTCTATGCACACACTGAACACCTTACTCTATGCATACACTGAACACCTTACTCTATGCATACACTGAACACCAATTACTCTATGCATACACTGAACACCTTACTCTATGTACACACTGAACACCTTACTCCCTGCACACCAAACTCTCTGCACACACTGAACATCTTAATCTCTGCAAACACTAAACATCTTACTCTCTGCAAACACTGAACACCTTACTCTATGCACACACTGAACACCTTACTCTATGCACACACTGAACACCTTACTCTATGCACACACTGAACACCTTACTCTATGCACACACTGAACACCTTACTCTATGCATACACTGGACACCTTACTCGATGCATACACTGAACACCAATTACTCTATGCATACACTGAACACCTTACTATATGTACACACTGAACACCCTACTCTCTGCAAACACTGAACACCTTACTCTCTGCAAACACTGAACACCTTACTCTCTGCAAACACTGAACACCTTACTCTATGCACACACTGAACACCTTACTCTATGCACACACTGAACACCTTACTCTCTGCACACACTGGACACCTTACTCTATGCACACACTGAACACCTTACTCTATGCACACACTGAACACCTTACTCTATGCACACACTGAACACCTTACTCTATGCACACACTGAACACCTTACTCTATGCACACACTGAACACCTTGTTCTTTGCACACACTGGACATCTTACTCCCTGCACACTGAACACCAATTACTCTATGCATACACCGAACACCTTACTATATGTACACACTGAACACCCTACTCTCTGCAAACACTGAACACCTTACTCTCTGCAAACACTGAACACCTTACTCTCTGCAAACACTGAACATCTTACTCTCTGTACACACTGAACATCTTACTCTCTGCACACACTGAACACATTACTCTATGCACACACTGAACACCTTGTTCTTTGCACACACTGGACATCTTACTCCCTGCACACTGAACACCTTACTCTATGCACACACTGAACACCTTACTCTATGCACACACTGAACACCTTGTTCTTTGCACACACTGAACACCTTGTTCTTTGCACACACTGGACATCTTACTCCCTGCACACTGAACACCTTACTCTATGCACACACTGAACACCTTACTCTCTGCACACACTGAACACCTTACTCTCTGCACACACTGAACACCTTACTCTCTGCACACACTGAACACCTTACTCTATGCACACACTGAACACCTTACTCTATGCACACACTGAACACCTTACTCTATGCACACACTGAACACCTTACTCTATGCACACACTGAACACCTTACTCTATGCACACACTGAACACCTTACTCTATGCACACACTGAACACCTTACTCTATGCACACACTGAACACCTTACTCTATGCATACACTGAACATCTTACTCTATGCACACACTAAACACCTTACTCTATGCACACACTGAACACCTTACTCTATGCACACACTGAACACATTACTCTATGCACACACTGAACACCTTACTCTATGCACACACTGAACACCTTACTCTATGCACACACTGAACACCTTACTCTATGCACACACTGAACACCTTACTCTATGCACACACTGAACACCTTACTCTATGCACACACTGAACACACTGAGAGGCATAAGAGCAGGAAAATTAGTTCCTAGGCATATATGCCCATATTCAGCCTGTTTGTAATATACTTGCACTTGAACTTACTCTGTTTATATGAACATAATCTTTTGGTATAAGATGCAATTTAGTGAACGTTGACTTCCCACCTGTACAAGAAAATGTAGATTAGAGTAAACAAGTATAAGACAAAGATATTAAACTGTATGGTGATATGTGTGTTCTATGTCAATGTTTCGACCAATAGCATCATAGCATTCAAATGAGGCATGGAAAGATTTGACTGTGGAAATAGAATTGAGCCAGTTTACAAAGTCACAAGTAGGCAACACATAATACACCTTCACCAATATGTAAGAACACTCTTCGGCAAATACAAACAAATTCTTTCACTTCTCTGCATTAATATTTCTAGAAATGTATGTTTGTCTTGCAATTTTATCAATAATCTCACAATTCATGTGACTTCAAATCTTACAAGTCAATAAACCACTAGTTATGGAATAACTACTAAACATAATAAATGATGCACACTATGGAGGATCTGTTTATACCTCCATGTGCACACTAACTACTACAATAGATTTATTACAAACATTCCAGATTACAGTTATATTTACTTGTTATTTAAATCAATAAGCACCACAATTAAGGCTGACATAAAAACAAAAGACTACACACACACATCATCCTGGGCAATCAACTTAGGGGATTAAAATCAAGTTAAACATTTTAACCACATGTCTGTACATTAAATACAGCCACTAAATTGTATTCTTTTCATTACCAGATGTATACAAATCATGACAGCAGCATTTTATAAGTATATAGAATACTGACTTACATGCAGGGTACCCCACCAACACTATAACCTGTAATTAAAAAAAATTATATCAACAAATAATTTCATAATAGTCAAAGATAAATATGAACTGTAAGCCTCCCTAATTTTCATAAGTCAGGAAAAATGATGAATAATCACTGAATAGTTCACTAGAATCTTTACATGTAACATTTCATTCCCACTTTACAGATCTGTGAGGTACCATTCACTAACCAACATTTTGTGTCTGCAATTCAACATTAGATCAAGCATAGAATTCTGTGTTACCAATGATTTCATAAGTAGATGAATGTTGATACCTCTTGTGTTGTCGATGAAACATTTGCATCAAGTGGGATTAACAATGGTGTAGTCTTGTCAACCTTGCGCTGAAACAATGTATAGAATACGTTAATATGCTGGCCATACCCATGGAAATAAAACTTTTATTTAAATTAACTAGTAGCTTCGCGGTGAGTGGATTTCGTAGCAGTAGCTTTAGAGAGGAGTAGGGCTTTGTCGCAGTAACTGGTCTTTTCATCGTTTTTGAGAATTAAAGTTTGATGTGTCTTTAACAACTGGTGCTATTCTTGGAATACCATCCTTAGAAGCTGCTAATTTGCCCCTATGACTTGTGCAGTTGCTCTGGCAGGAGTTCCTATATGCTCTAATAATGCCCCCTAGTTTCTAACTTCGACCAAGAAACATTTAATCATTTACAGTATGGAATTTGCATCATGTATTCTTGCTGTACTGCTTAGTGACATACTGTAATTAATGATCTTATTGGTGTTGCAGAAGAATAGTTGAATATTGTTTATTGAAATTAATAATCCTCAGAACAATTTTTCCAATATAGATAAGAAATTACGAAACGTACGAAACAAATGTATATCTCATTCTCAGCAATAAAATAAAGAACTGTATAGATATTTTAATTATTACTAATGTATCGCAATACAACTAATCAAAGTTTAAAAAAATTGCAATATAAAATATTCCATCAGTGACACAATTTTATAAACTGGTTTGGCAATTCCCACCACCAATTAGATATCATTTGTGTATTTTAATAGATACAGGTACACCAACAAAAATGAAATATTAATTTCACAGGGTCACATGACTTTGTACTTTACAGGGTCACATGACTTTGTACTTTTCAGGATCACGTGACTTTGTACTTACTGGGTCACGTGACTTTGTACTTACTGGGTCACGCGACTCTGTACTTACTGGTTCATGCGACTCTGTACTTACTGGTTCACCTGAATTTGTACTTCACAGCGTACTTAACATGGTCACATGACTACTTTTCATGGTCACATGACTTTGTACTTTTCAGGGTCACATGACTTTGTACTTTTCAGGGTCACATGACTTTGTACTTCACAGGGTCAC